CTTCCGCTCGTTTCGACTCGTGCTCCCGCTGCAGCGCTGGCGTCATTTCCCGTGCCATGCCACGGCGTGCAATGCAATACCAAGTGGATATTACGCTTCGCGGTGCTCTTCAACGCCATGCCACGCCGTGCTCTACAATGCATCGCGTACCCTTTTCGGGATCATTGCCCTGCTCGACATCCGACTGTGCGAGTAGAGAGGGGATCTGCGCAATGGTAAGGGATGGGAGGGAGGGGTAGGATGTCAGATATGACGCGAGCGCACCTAGCTTGCCCCTCCCCCCTCCCCCCTCCCCCCTCCCCTGGCAGGGAACTCAGCACTCCGAGAAGCTTTCCTCAAGACAGTCTATGAGGAGATCTACGGAGTGCTGGGGGGTTCATATGCGCATGCGATTTTAGACGTACAGTCCTTCTATGATGCGGTGACGTGGGCACGTTTAGTATATGCAGCATTGAAGTTGAACTTTCCACCTGTGATTTTGTTCTTAGAGCTACAGCTCTGCACAGCTCCCAGAATGATGACTCAACTTGGGTCAACGTGCAGTCCATTTCAAGTTGGCAGGTCGATCATCCAAGGGCTAAGAAATGGAACCGTTTCGGCATGTGTGCTACACATTTTGTGCTAAAAAAACTCACGCAGGGCAATCCAGGACTGCATGTACGGATTTGGATCGACGACTTGAGTGAATCAGCAGTTGGATCAGAGCGATCAGTTTTCAAGAAAATGGTCAAATGTATTGCCGACACATTCGGCTTTCTCGCAGAGGAGAAGTTGTCCGTGGCATCGAAGAGCGTACTCATCGCGGCCAGACACCAGCAGGCCAAAGCGATCACAACGGTTCTCCGACGCCACGGGCATCACCTGAAACCAGTCCTCCAAGCAACATATCTCGGAGTGGATCGTGCGGCAGGACGACGTGCCGCGAGAGCGACGAGGCGTGGGCGAGTTGTTAAAGCGATTGGTCGGCATCGGGAGATTTCTAGATGGGCGAGAGCAAGCAGACAGTACACAGTCACAGCCACCTTGGAGAATGTAGCAGGGCAGACGGTCGCCCACTACGGGCATCAAATCCATGGTATGTTTGGGTCAGAGCTTCTCAGTCTTCGTCGACGCTTGGGCACGGTGTGCGGCTCCAACCGCAGAGGCCGATGCCTGACCACGACGCTCGACTTGAGGGCCCCGCAGCAAGACCCAGCAGTTCGTTTGAGTAAAGAATGTTTGAGTGAATGGCTGAGGCTTTGGACGATCACAGATGGCATCCGATCATCAGTTGTCAAGGTTTGGCCCACTATTTTCAACAAAATGCAAGCGCTCGCCAGTACTGAAGGGGCTCGCCACGTTCGTGGGCCAGTCAGTGCAGTGATCGCGATGCTGATGCAGTACAAGAGGGAACCGATCTCGCCATCGCACTGGCAACTACAGAGATGTGGGGGCACGAGCGAGCAGATCGAGTGGCACTTCAACAGCGAGGAGCTGACAGGTTCCGAGGATTTCAGCGACATCTTATCTGATCTATCTATGTCAGTGATGGGTGTATTATGGCAGCAGGCAGCGGCACATTACTGTGGGGAAGGGATGTCAGATGGTATCGACAACGAATCTCTTCGAGGACTCCTGAGCCGGCTCGCGCAAGCTCCGAAAGGAGCTCAGTGGGCTGAGACCATGCTGGCAGTGGCGACGGGCGGCACATGGCCGAGAACACGGTTCAAGGTTGACGACCCTGAGTTTGTGCTGTGTCCACGGTGTTTGCTGAAGGGTGAACGCCATGCCGAGACACAGCTGCATCGGTGTTGGCTTTGCCCTCATAACACAGGACACAAAGCGTATCGCGATTCAGATCAGTATGTGCCCCAAGCAGTCAGCCAACACGAGCAATATGAATGTTTTTGGTTTCGAGGATTGCTGCCCAGATCATGGACGGAGGTACCAGTACCTTCTAAAGAGGAGCGGTGGACCTTCGAGCCAGAGCTACCTGACGGTGACATCCTCGCCTTTGGGACAGATGTTCAACCAGCATATGTTTGTGGCGACGCAAGTGGAGGAGCCGACACGCACCCACCAAAGTTAAGACGTGTTGGCCCCGGCTTCACCATCATAGATCAACGTGGTCCAGTACGGTTAGGCCGAGAAGGATATGGACCGCTGCAAGGACGGCGGCAGACAGTGCATCGTGGTGAGCTAGCTGTTCTGGAGCATGTATTGAGGCGTACACGTGGAGCAGTTGTGTATCTCACAGACAACGAGGGGTTGAGAAGGGCTGGTCCGCCAGAATGTACCTCAACCCGCGTTAGGCCAATTCGGACACTGACCTGTGGCAAGCCATCGGTCGGCACATGCATGAGGCTGAGGATCGACACGGCCGTGTCTCAGTCATATTCATGAATTCACACTTGTCGGAAGTTGAAGCTGCAGGGAAAGGATATGCGCCGTGGATGTGGCACGGGAACCATCGAGCAGACCAGCTAGCAGGTCGAGCTGCACAGGAGCACCGAGTACCTGCAGCTGTGCGTGCACGAGTCGCTCAGCACGAGAAGAGGGCGGAGCTGGTCAGGCGTCGGCTCATCAGAGCCACCATGGACGCCATGGCTGCGGATCCGCGGCCCGGGCGAGAGTCGGAAAAACTTCGGTTACATCCGCCCGCCCCCATCACTGTCGCTCGTTTCTGTACCAAGCATGTCCTTGATGACACTGGCCGCCAGTGTACCAGATGCATGGGGTCCGCGACCAAAAAATGTCTCGGTGACTGGTTGAATACGCCTTGTTTTGAACTGCAGTCTGTAGACGGTGTTGTTTCACGAATACCCCAAGGGTGTAAAGTCCATAGGGCGGGGGGGTGGCTGCATTCCTCACACAACCTCAGGTTTCATGTTAGTTTGAAGCTCTGGTTAGGTGGAGCGTGCGGATTTTACTCCTCAGATCAGATCCGAGGGCTTGCATCCGAGTGTGTTCATAGAACCAACAAATCCCGACAATATTATTTAAACAGGATCGAGGATGGGCTCTGGCCAAAGCTTTTGTCGTTGTCGGAGCAACGAGCCAGAGGCCTCATCCCTCCTTACTTAATATCTTTTTCGATTCGCGAATTGACCATTCCCATTCCCATTCCCATTCCCTCCCTCCTCCCTCCTCCCTCCTCCCTCCTCCCTCCTCCCTCTCCTCCTCCTCCTCCTCCTCCTCCTCCTCCTCCTCCTCCTCCTCCTCCTCTTTCCTTCCTTCCTTCCTTTCTTTCTTCGTTCCTTCTTTTCTGCCTTCCACTCCGCTTGGCGCCACCCCCAGGTCGGGGCGCGCGCCGGGCCGGGCCGCGCGGCGCGGGCCCTCATAGACCGGCGGTCTGTGCCCGCGTGCTGCCCATTCCCAGGGCCGAGAGCTGTTCGGCTGGAGCCCGACGCCGAAGCGGGGGGCTCTGCCTAGAGCCCCCGAGGAAGGGGTCGCCCTGCGGGCCCCCCAGGAGGTCGTTGGTGGAGCGCCGCGCGGGCTTGACCCCCCAGGCAGCCCCGCTGTGGGCTGGGTCGCTGCCGGTGGGTACTCGGGCCGGAGAGGAAGGGCATGGACCGGCGGGGGCCGGGGGCCAGGGCCAGGGGGCCGAGGGGTGGGACCAGGAGCACCACGGGCCCGGGCGCAGGTAGGCCGGCCCCAATAGGCGAACGCCGGACAGGCCACGGGACCAGGGGCCAGGGGGGGGACGGGGGACGGGGCCACGGCCCGGGGCGGAAGCAGGGAGGCAGGGAGGAGGAGGAGGAGAGGAGGAAGGAGGAGGAGGAGGAGGAGGAGGAGGGAGGAGGAGAGGAGGAGGAGGACAGGACAGCCGGGCCAAGCTTTCAGGGGGGCCCGGGCCAGAGGTCGGTGTCCACACTCATCCTCTCCGGCATGTAACCCAGGGTGCTGCCTGCAGCGCCTCCTCCTCCTCCTCTCCTCCTCCTCCTCCTCCGCCTCCTCCTCCTCCTCCTCCTCCTCACCTCTCCTCTCCTCTCCTCTCCTCTCCTCTCCGCTCCGCTCCTCTCCTCCTCCTCTCCTCCCTCTCCTCTCCTTCTCTCCTCCTGTCCTCCTCCCCTCCTCCCCTCCTCTCCTCTCCCCTCCCCTCCTCTCCCCTCCTCGCCTCCTCTACTCTCCTTTCCTCTCCCCATCCTCCCCTCCTCTCCTCTCTCTCCTCCCCTTCGCATGGGGGTCAAAGGCCCTGGTGACAACGGGCCCCGGACACCGGGGCCTCCCCAAAAACCTTTCGGGAAGGCCCCTCTTGGCCCAGGACCCGTTCTTTCACCAGGCCCCTGGGCCCAGGACACGGCTACGGTGAAGGCATTGGAAAGGAACCACTGAATAAGGAATCCACGGTCTGGAAGCCCGCGGAACTCCAATCGTGGAGAGGCCATGGGTATCACCGCCGCCCCCATTGAATAAGGAATCCTCCAGGGTCTGAAGCCTCCTAGGCACATTCCTCAACGAACGCTCCCACCGTATCGATCTGTTCTGCAAGATTGGGGGGCGGCCAAGAGGGGGGCGTCCAAGAGGGGCGGGCGCAAATCATGGCCGGCGGCATGTGCAGGAACGTCATGCAATAAGAAAAGGCGCCATGAAATCGAAGGAAATATCATGGCCCACGCCATGATATCCACCCCCTCCTAGTCATCACCCTTGTTTTTGTCGCCCCCGAGAGGTCTGGACCCTTTCCCCGGGACCGTTTTTTCATCCTGAGTCGTTTTTGACAGTCCCGGGGCCCAGTGAGGGCCCCCGGAGGCCGAAGATAGGGAAAGACCTCCCGTCGTGATTTATTGACAGCGCGATGGGGTCTGGAGGATGAGGAGGAGGAGGAGGAGGAGGAGGAGGAGGAGGAGGAGGAGGAGGAGAAGGAGGAGGAGAAGGAGGAGGAGGAGGAAGGGGACGAGAAGGAGGAGGAGAAGAAGGAGAAGCAGGACTCCAATGCTTCCTGGCGCTCGCCGCTCCCTGCTCGATCTCACCAGGCGACCTCCTCGGCCAGTCCTTTTTGTTGCACGCCCCCGCGGGTCCCCGCTCATCGGCCCCCGAGCCACCTGGCAGGAGGGAGGGCGAGGCGCGGGCGCGGGGGGGGGAGCGGGGGCGTGGGGGGGTGAAGCGGGGACGGGGAAAGAAGGAGGGGGATGGGACAGAACGAGCGGGAGGGAGGAGGGGAGGGGGGAGGGAGGTGAGGAGAGGTTGGAGGAGGGGAGGAGGAGGGGAGGAGAAGGAGGAGGAGGAGGAGGAGGAGGAGGAGGAGGATGGGAGGGAGAGTGAGGAGGGGGTGGAGGGGGGAGGAGGATAAGGCAGGTGCTCTCGCGTCATATCTGACGTCCTACCCTCCCCTCAAATCCCTTGCAATGGCGTAGATAGCCTCTCTTGATGAAGATCAACGCGTAGCCTGACATAGCATGGCGTTGCGACGCCCCAGAGTGGGGGATGGGGGGGCTTCTGCGGCCCAAGAAATCAACGGATCGACACCGAATGTGGAATCACTTCCACTGGTTGTTTCGGGAGGGCATTTCCTAGCTTGTGGGGCCAATTGGGAAGGACCGAACCGAAGACCATGCTGTGGCATGGCGCTGGAAGTAATGACGCCAGCGCTGTAGCGGGAGCACGATTCGGAACGAGCGGAAGCGCGGAAATGAGGCCAGCGCTGCAGCGGGAGCACGATTCGGAACAAGGTGGCCCGAAAATGACGCCAGCGCCTCAGCGAGTGCAGCATTTCGAAACAAAAACAACCGAAAACCCGTTTCCCGTGAATCCTGTGTAAAACCCAAGTACGCGGAGGGGGGCATAATATTTCCTGGGCATCACCAGGGGAGGGAGGAGAGTAGTATTTCATATAACACGCAGTGTGTAATTGAGGAGGAGGAAGAGGAGGAGGAGGAGGAGGAGGAGGAGGAGGAGGAGGGGGAGAAGGAGGAGGGGGGAGGGCGGAGGGAGTGGGGGAAGGAGAAGGAGGCGGGGCAGGAAGGAGGATGGGAGGGAAGAGGGAGGGAGGAAGGGAAGGGGGCAACAATGGGAAGGGATGCGATAAATGGATGCGCTGCTGGCACCGCCTTAGGAGAAGGCGTCATGCATGCACTAGCCGCAAGAGCCCGGTCGCAACAGAGGAGCTGCCGGCACTCTGCGAGAAAGCGGGGCAACAGTTCGCAGAGACTGCCATAAACCGCCGCCCGTTGGACCGATAGTACTACTTTGGCGAACTGAGCAACCATAACATACAATAGCATGCAACCGCACAAGTACACCAACGTTGCGACGGCTGCTGACCGCTCGTGGCCATTTGCGCTACCGCGCTCAGCTTCTTCCTGAATCGATCGCGCCCTGGAAGGCCACGTGGCCGTGACGCCAGGGGAGCAGAACGCCCGAAGGAGCTCGAGAGGCGCGCAGCCTCTGCGCCGCAGCAGCAGGCCGAGGCAGGAAGGCTGAGGGGGCAGAGGAGAGGGCAGAGGAGAGGGCCGGGAAGCGGAGCGACTCCCGAGCCGCCAGTCCGAGGGCAGGCCAGGGCAGGGCCGCGCTGGCGGGCCGCGCCGAGCGGCACCGCGCGCCAGCCGCCTGCAGGCATGGCCGCCGCAGGCCACCAAGCGAGGTGGACGCTGCGGGCGCACGCACGCGCAGGGCACGTGGCGCGCGCGCGCTCGCACAGCCACGGTCGCGGTGCTACCACAGACAGAACGCTGGATAAGGAGCCACTGGTGCTCTTTCTGGCGGCGGCCAGGCTCCTCCTCCGCCTCCTCCTCCTCCTTCCCCTCCTCCTCCTCCTCCTCCCATCCTCCTCCCCCTCCTCCTCCTCCTCCTCATCCTCCTCCTCCTCTTCTTCTCTCCTCCTCCTCCTCCTCCTCCCCTTCTTCTCCTCCTCTTCCCCCTCCTCCTCCTCCCCCTCCCCTCCTCCTCCTCCTCTCCCCTCCTCCTCCTCCTCCTCCTCCTCCTCCTCCTCTCCCTCCTCGCGGCCACGACAAAGAGCTTCCCCACCTGGCTCGGCGGAACGGCCCGACCACTGGAGCCCCTCCTGAGGCCCACATTGGTGGGCCGATCTTCCACCACCACTACCCAGGTGGAGAAGAAGGAGAGAGAAGGAGGAGAGGAAGGAGGAGAAGAGAGGAGGAGAAGGAGGAGGAGGAAGAAGGAGGAGAGGAGGAGAGAAGGAGGAGAAGGAGGAGGAGGAGAAGGAGGAGGAGGAGGAGAAGGAGGAGGAGGAGCAGGAGGAGGAGGAGGAGGAGGAGGAGGAGGAGAGAGAAGGGAGGAGGAGGAGGAGGACCTCCGCCATACCCGTGGTATGGTGGAAGAACTGGCCCATGGCACATGGTCCTTGGTGTAAGTCAGCGACGATAATAAAGCATCTGGTCTTGCGCGAGACGACACAGCGACCTTACGTGAGCAATGCGTCGTATCTTCTACGAAAGGGCAAGGACCGCGGTAAGGGTGATAGGCGAACCCGCAGGTTGGTCAGAAAGGGAATGGCCACGTTCCTAGCCAGTTTAACTGATCACGATTTTGAGGAACTATTTTCTCTGTTGTAAAGGTAGAGGCACACGTCGTAGAAACACCATTGGGGAATTGGAGGGGCGCAAGCTAAATCCCATGGATAAATTTGGCCAACGCGTAACATGCAACAAATGCGGAAACGATCAATATGGCCGGGCACAATGTCCCACGTGAATGGGGGAAGAAGATGGATCCGTACTCTGTGGCTCAGACCAGCTGGAAGAATACGTTTTGGCGTTGGCAGCTGCTCCTGGTCTCGATATCCACCCGGGCGCTTACGCGCGAACCTACGCGGGCAGCGCACGCGCCAGTGTCGTCGCGGACGACCCCGCTTTCCTGTCTCGTTCAACGGGTCGTCGGGTCATAACTCGGCCCTCTGGCGCCCAGTCAGGGGGACCCGGGCATCCCGAGACAAACTCTCGGCGAGGCGCAGCTGGAGAAATCAAAAGGTGCCAGTACCGATGCTCCCCGGACCTCTCCTGGAGTGCGCTCTGACCAGAATTTCGAAGCGAATCCAGCGGTGGCGACGAGGGCCTCCCGATCCTCTGAGCAGCTGCTGTCATCCCTAGGCTGGAAGACCCCCCGAGAGGTGGTGAGAACACCCGAAAGCCTCTAGACTTCGAGTTTCAGCGCCCTGGCTGTAGCGTCCCAGACGCCAGGCTCACCACATCGGACCCCGCAGGTGTGCGCCACCTCGACGAGGAGCAGGCCATCATACTCCGGGTCCGCTCCCACCCACTGCTCGCATGCGATGCGGCACGGGCGAAGGGCGAAACGGGGCTTACGGGATGCGTTTCGAGGATAGCTCCCCTGGACGGGGGAGGCGGAGGGGGCAGGGCGGGCGGTGGCGGCGCACACCCTGTGTGCACGCCTGGGGCGGGGCGGGCGGTGGTGCTGTGCACCCTGAAGGGTGAGCACGCCGAGCAACGGCACGACGAGGAGCAGGCCATCATACTGCGGGTCCGCTGGGATAATGGTGTGTATCGTCTTCACACCCTGCCTTCTCGCCTGGATTCGGGTTCTGGGACTGTCAAAAGCCGACCGGGCACAGCAAGAATATGAAAAGATGCGGTCGTTGTGGATCTTCGCGTTGTTGAGAAGGTCGGCAACATCACGAATGAAAGACAATACGGGTTGTGGTTCGAGGAGGGTCCTGTCGGACGGGGGACGGGGGGGGGCGGGGCAAGCGGTGGGGGAGATTCGTTGCTCCCGGCGAGCAGCCCTGACCCGTACTGGACCTTTGCGTCTCCTATTCGCGTTGCCCCTTCCCTGCGTTATGCTACTGGCGCCCCGGATGTTGCCGGAGTGCGCAGACGCGGCAATACATGCTCTACGCCATCCCAGCTATAAAGAGGCGAGGGACGAGGAGGAGGAAAAGGAGGAGGAGAGGGATCAGTGCAATTCCAAGACACATCAACGATATTGCAATCAACCCTCCCTTCCAGACTTCCAGATCCCTCTTAATAGGCTCCTGCACGAATTCAAGCTCACTGAACGAAAACCCCATTGGGTGGCAACTGTTTGAAAACCCGGAATTGTGCCCAAACGCCGTTGTTGGGGCATCAGCGCCGCGAATTGCCGTTACTGGTGCGTCCAGACGAGCCTGAAATGTGCCAGAACACTTTTCCTGGGACTTCAACACTGCGAATCAACGTGGTTGTTGCGCCCTGACATCCCGACGTAGTGCCATAACATCATATATGGGACTTTAGCCATGCGAATCTTTGACAGCACGGCAAACTCTCAAGACGAGTGTGCGCGGCGCAGTGTCGAGAAACAAATGTTGAAAAAGGAACCGCCCTCCATACGTAAATCTCTTACAAACTTGAACGACGCGAGAGCCCTCCACACTTACTCACGTGCGATGTTTCGAGACGAATGCGCGCGGCGATGAAGCGATGATGACTAGGACCTGTCCTCCATCCGTGAAGCTCTTTAACGCATTCGAAACGAATGTGTGCGGCGCTGAGGCGTCTACCACATTTTGAAAACGGACCACCCTCCATCCGTGAAGCTTCTGTAACTGCTGAAACGAATGCACGCAACGCTGAGGCGAAAACCACATTTTGAAAAACAGGCCGCCCTCCATCAGTGGGGTTCTTGCACATCTCAAGCTTCAGGATCATAAGCTGCGAGGAAGTTTCCAGGCGAAACGCCCGCCCCGCCCTTTCGACCAACCTCGGGTGCGACAGGAAGGAGTCTATATAAGGAAAAAGAAATGGAGGAGGAGGAGGAGGAGGAGGAGGAGGAGGGGGAAGAATAATGTTGCAGGCCCACAAGGCAAAACAAAACCGTGGCGCTCAACGAAGCGCGGGCCAAACGTGCCCTGGCCAACGGCCAGCGCGGCCAACGGCCAACACCAAGGGCACACGTGCAAAAAACAGGGGCTCACGGACACAAGCTGGGACATGACTTCCGGCTTCCGTTCCCTGGCTAACTCCCAATAGCGCCAGAAACGCTGTGCCTTAAGGAAGAAATGAAGAAAACGAAAGTAAACCAAGGACTGCCCTACACCCCGCACCAAACTGACGCATGGGGTTCGGGATCGGCAACACGGGGCGTCGCCCAGCGCCCGCACCCCCACAAGCACGGCAACAGCGCGCCCGCGGCAAAGAGCAGTGCAACCAAGAGGTTGCAGGTGGGAAGCCGCGGGCCCCGCCTCCGTGATCGTCAACGGCGGTTCACCTCAGACCAGGAGGTGCCACTGGGGTCTCCCCGCGCCCAGGCTGCACCTCTTGGCCGAGGTGGCAGGGCACTAAAAGCCCTGGCCTGACGACTGTAACGGCGACAGCGGCGGCAGGAAGGGGGGGAAGGGCCACTCTCCGGCCCAAGAGCGCAAACAACGTCCGCCCCGGAACTTAATCCAGGGCCGTGCCGCAAAAGGAGGAGGACAAGGAGAAAGACGAGGAAGACAAGGAGGAGGACAACGACGACGACGAAGAAGGAATGGAGAATGAGGGCCACGAGAATGAACAATAACCGCTGGGACCGAATGCTGAACTGCGACGTGAGGTGCCGGAAAGGAACGGGCAACGAGAGGGGAAGGGCAGCCGAGGTCGGAGAATGTAAGATTATGGTGACAGTGCGAGGAGGACCCGGAGGAGGAGGAGGAGGAGGAGGAGGAGGCGGAGGAGGAGGAAGAGGAACAGGAACAGGAAGAGGAGGAGGAGGGCGAGGACAATTAGGAGGAAGAGGAGGAGGGAGAAGAGGAGGAGGAGGAGGAGAAAGAGGCAGAGCACGAGCAGCAGAACAAAGAGGAGGGCACGAGTCAACGAGGAGATCCCCTCTCCCTCGAGCCCTCCCTCTCTCCTCCCCTGCCCTCTCCCTGCCCCTCCTCCGCCCGACCCCCCTCCCTCCCCTCCTTCCCTCCGTCCGAGCCGCTTGGCCACAGCGCAAAGCCGCGGCGCCGCGGCCGGCCAGGCCGCCAACCACCGCCTCCTCACACCGGGGGAGGCACCCGAAGGCCCGCGGGCGGGCTTTTCCTCCAGAGCCTTTTCTTCCTCTGTCCTTTCCCAGAGATCCAGCGCATGGAACAAATCAAGATGGACGTTGTTGCCCATTTCGGCCTCTGGAGGCCCTCGCCGGGCCTCGTGACCGTCAAACTACGACTCAGGACGAGAAGCCGGTCCTGGGGAATGGGTCGAGACTTCCGGGGACCCCGTATTGAAACAATCACGACATCAGATCTCTGGGCTTCCTCCACCCGCCTCTTATCCCCGCCCCACCCCCGTCCCTGGCCGTTTCGCCGCCCCCCGCTCCTCCTTTCCCACTCTGGCCCGCCCCCTCCTGCAGATAGAGCTCGCCCCTGCTCTTTGTCCTTCCTCCCTACACCCCTCGTCTCCTGCTCCCCACCGTCCACCCCCCCGTCCACCCCCCCGTCCGCTCCAGCATCTGGCGATGTGATTTGTTCAACGCGCGGCGCCAGAGGTGTCGTCCCCTTCCCCAAGGGGATCATTTCTCGTCTCGGCTGCGTGTTTGCTGGTCCCCTGGTCCGATCACATGACCCTTGGGGCCAACATCGAAGAAGGAAGGTGGAATTGAAACACAAAGACCGCCGGCCTTTCCACTTCTGCCCTTCCCTCTCTGCGCCGCGTGGGAAACGGAACCTCGGTGATCATCAGCACGAACGCCCGCTGGGTGCCCGTGTCCTTCACAACCTTCGGACGCCAAAAGCCAAGAGACTCGCCGAGGAGCTGTTCCGACCCCCCTCCTCGTCTTTTTGTAGCCTCCGCCTCCTTCTCTTCCTCCTCCTCCGCGTCCTCCCCCTCCTCTTCCTCCTCCCCCTCTCCTCCTCCTCCTCCTCCTCCTCCTCCTCCTCCTCGTCTCTTCTCCTTTTCCTTTTCCTCCTCCCCCTCCTCCTCCTCCTCCTCCTCCTCCTCCTCCTCCTCCTCCTCCTCCTCCTCCTCCTCCTCCTCCTCCTCCTCCTCCCCGTGCAAGCGCCGCAGCGAATTTACCTCAGACCCGCACGACGCGCACAACGAACGTGTGGGGGGCGACGCGACGACCCAATCGGCGACACGGCGTGCTGGCCACGCCGCCGCGGCGGCACGCGGTTCGGCTGCCCAGCCGGCGCCTCCCAATCCCAGGGCGGACCGCACCGTGGCCCCCGCGGAGGACCATGCTGGACTCACGGCCCCACCGGACTTGAGCTCTCGGCCCTGCCGGGCCGCCAAGTGCCCCGCGAGGGCCTCGGCCGCGCCTCCGGCGTCCGCCTAGAGCAGCGCGGCCTGCTCCCGGGCGAGGCTGTGCAGGTGGCCGTGGCGCCTACGGGCCCCCACTGCCAGCGGCGCCATGCGTCCAGGCGCCCGCCAGCCTGGGCAGCGCCGGTGCTTGCCCGCCTCCGCGGAGGCACGGGCTGCCCCGTCACGGCCAGGAGCTGCCCGCAGCGAGTCGGCGTCGACGGGCGCGTTGCACTGGACGGTCACGTCGAAAACGCCCGCGGGTGATGGTTTCCTCCAACTCCTCCTCCTCCTCCTCCTCGTCCTCCTCCTCCTCCTCCTCCTCCTTTCTCTCCTCCTCGCCCTCCGCGCTTCTCGTTAACCTCCACCCCTCTGGCACCTCTTTTCCACCCTGCTCCATTCCCTTTTTATGTTTCCGATCGCCGCGGGGGCCTCGGGGACCCGGGCCCGATCTGCTTGTATCGCGCGCGCGGCGCTGCTCTCGACGGTGCGCCCCGCCTCCCGCCTTGTGACTCCGCCCGGCCTCCCTGCGCACCGCGCAGGCCTGTTTCTTTCGCCCGCGCCGCCTGGTCGGCTTCGGCGTTGTAGCTTCAGTAGCCTCGTCGCGTGTGGCCCCTCGCTCACCGTGCACCGTGGAGCGCCGCAAATGCCGTTTTGCCTGGTCGGCGTCGCTGCAATAATGTCCGTAGTCTCGTCGCGTACAGCTGCTCGCCCACTGGGTACCGCGGAGCGCCGCAACGAATGTCATCCACGATGGCCGAAGCCCGACCCGGCACGATCAGGCTCAACGAATGAAGCAGAATCCGGTGCAGAAGGGCGGGATGGAAGGAACGTATTGGGGCGGCACGTGCGGGGCTGTCGCAACTGGTTTGCCCCTGGCCTCTCCCAGTGTCGTTTCTCCCGTGCAATTCTCCCCTCTACAACTTGTTTTTGTTTCCTTGGGCGTGGGCGCGTGAGTAGGTTAGCTCCCCAAAAACACGCACAGAAAAATCACTTAAGACCGGCTTTTCGCCAGTGCGTAGGAGACGCGACTGATACGAATTGCCTTCAAAACGTATCGGGCTAGACTTGCACACATTGTGTCACAACCCCTATCGCATGGCCCAAACGGCCAGCGCAGTAAATCCAACACAATATTATGGGATAGCCGGGGGGAGGAAGAGGAGGAAGGAGAGGCGAAGGAGGGAAGGAGGATGAGGGGAGAAGGACAGGCAAAGCTACTTGCGGCGGATGCTGCGGATTACCCTGCAGCCTCTACACCGAAGGCGCGTGGTGCTTTACATGCGTTCCATGATGCCTCGGAATTGGGATCTGTACAACCAGTAAGGGTCCACTGCGCCACTCTGGCGCCGAAGGTGGGCTGTGGCGATGTAACAACAGTACTTATGTATAGCTACATATTTGTACGAATTCCTCCAGGCCCTCCCGAGGAAAAAATCGCGGAAAGTCCATTCGCTAAAATCTATGTGTGCGTACCGGCGGGCTGCCTCCATTAGGACTGGGCAGCGCCAGTAGTGTTCTATCGACTCGGATGCAGATGTTGCCTTGCAGCACAGACACGGCGCTTGTTGCTAGAAGCGCCGGGCGCAAGTCCACCAATTGAGAATAGTGTGAAAGCAGGCAGAAACCACGGCTGGTGGTACGCTGCCCCTGAGGTGGGGCAAATTGCGAGTTATATGCTCAGCAGTAGCACCTACACGTGTTAGCCCTATGAGGTCGTGCCAAGCGCGGCGACGGCCGAGGCGCCGACGGATAACATCTTCAGGCGCGATGGCATGAAGGCTGGCATGCAACTGGGAATATACAGCGGCCTGGCCTCCCTGCACAGTAATGCGCCTGTCTCTCAATGCGCCCCGGGCGGAACTCAACGTGACCACAAACAAGGAACTCAGCCACGAATGCCATCGAGAATGAAGAGGGGCCTCGTTGCATTGGACTGTCCCCTGCATCTTCACGTGGAGCTCCCGCCATCGAGGACACGCATCGGTCATCGCCCTCGCCGCGGCTGCGAAGTGCAAGGCGCTGATACAACGGAAGGGGCCGGGAGTCCGAAGGCGTCAAGGTTGTGCTCGCCATGCTTGGGCAACCAGTTCCCGGGTCCACGGGCCAGTTTGCGCAGCATGTCACGCTCTGTGGCGAGCAGATCGCTAGTAGGAGCGACCAGCTGCAATACGAAGCTGAGCACGCTGACTGCCAAGGAATTGCACAGCAATGCTGAGGCAGGAAGTCCAAGACAGAGGTCATAGATATATTCCACTCTCGCGATATACTTGCGTACCGGGGCAGACAATGAAGAAATACCGGCGTCGGGCCCTAAGACGAAGCCCGAATATTTGCCAGACAACGCTTTCTCGAACTGGCTCCACCCCGGGATTTCCTCCTGGACCAGCTGGGCAAAACCGCGCAGCGAGATGCTCCACAGAGGGATGATTATACATTTTTGCGCCTTGCTTCTCAGGTTCGATATGCTCGCAAATTTCTGGAAGAGCCAGCTGACAACTGGCCCCTCCACGAACAAATTGGCGAGGACTATGGCAATGTCGTCCGCGAGTGCTCGGACCAACGACTTCCCGCTCAGGTGGGGCGACATCGCACGCAGGAGCGGGTCGAGGGCGTTGATAAATAGAGTGGGGCTGAGAGGGCAACCCTGCTTCACTCCGAAAGTTATTTCGACCACGAGGGATACCGTGCCGCCGAATCTCCAGAAATGGCGGTTACGAGCGTACAGCTGCTGGATTGCCTGTGTGATTTCGGCGGGCGCTCCGATGATCTCCAACACCATCCAAAAATAACATAAAGACAAGCTCGGGAAGGCGGGCCCGAAATCGTTCAATAAGCACGCCGGGGTATTCGTAGCCAGCCATATTGGTGGATCGGCGGCGTCGGCAATGACACAAGAGGAAGCGGCTGTGGCCATGTGCGTTTCGACCTCCAGCGCGTTATCCAACATCTGCCGCCCCTGGATAAATCCACGCTGAGCGTTCGCCGCCCACTGTCTGACTGCAGGCTCAAGCAAGTGGTTCACGGCTGAGGCGATAATATTGACGTCTGTGTTGCCCAAGGAGAGGGGGCGCGTGTCCTGGAGAGGCCTGAAACCAGGGAGACCCGTGGCAGAATCGAGTCCCTTTGCTAGAAGTGCCAACCACGAATGGTTGGCTTCCTCTGGGAGGGGCGACCCGGCGAGCCAGTCGCCCATGGCATTGAAGAGAACTCGTTGGCACCACTCCGGAGCGCACCTCCACGCGCAGTAGGGAATGCCGTCTGGGCCGGGAGCAGAGTCCACCAGTCCACGGAGCACACGCGAGAACTGAAAAACTGATGTCCCACTGGATGTTCGGGAAGGCGACGGCGTGTTCTTCGAGGAACTGGCGGGCGGCGATCTCATCGACAGGCTGCGCGGTAAACGCGGGACCCCAATGACTCGATACAGCTGCATGCGCGCGGGCGGCGTCCGTGATAGGGAGGCCGTCGGTATCCAGAAGGCCCTGCAAGCCAGTTCGGCGCCGTCTCGGGGAGAATTGCGCGACCCACGAGAGTATGCCTGCACGCTTCCGGCTCTTGTGGTAGTCAGGCAGAACACTGCACTCTTCTAGCTCGCGCAATCGGTCCTCGGCGGTCTTCTGGCTGAAGCTCCGGACGAGAACCTCGATGCTGGTGAACTTTTCGGGGGTCCGATCCTGCGGGCAACAGCTGCCCAGGATGTCCTGGACCTCAGAACAGACAGAAGCAGCAATCAGCGCCTGCTTGGTGTTGTCGCTGTGGGCGGCCCGTAAGAATTTCAGGCACCACCATAGTTTCTCTTCCGATGTGTGGGCGCCATGATGCTGGACGCGTCGCTTGATCTCCTGGGCTGCCCTATGGAAGAGTTCCTTAAGATGCACTTATGATCCAATCAGCTGGGGCCTCAAATCCTCAAGTACCGCCTCCCAGAGAGGATGCCGAGGAACCCACTTCGGAATCGTAGGGGTACGAGCACACGAGACATTCGACCTCCAGCTGAAGAAGACAGGCGCGTGGTCGCTGAGATCGAAATTGGGGAGTGCAGCAAACCCTGGCGAAGCTACTCTAACCTCCAGGCCGCTCGATAAAGAGCTTGGTAACGAGGTGAAGATGCGGTCGATGCGGCTGAATTGGAGATGCCCGGCGGAGTCGGTGCCTCTCCTGGTGAAGTCGGGTTGCTCCAGCTCGGTGAGATCCTCAATGCAGGCGTGGCCGTCGAAGGCATGCCGGGAGGGAGAGCCGGTGAAGCGACCCAGGGTGGCGTCGAAACGGTCGGTCTTGGAAGCGATCGAGTTGAAATCCCCTAAGAGGACAAGCGTGGCTCCAGAGCTGAAGGAAATGACCCTGGAGAGACTCTCGAGCACCCTCGGCACGTCGCCCTCGACATGTACGCCGCAGATGATCAAGTTGCCCTGTGGCCCAAGAAGTGTGAATGTACAGAGACGCCTCGAAATAATGCTAGAGAAGTCGATGGACGCAAAGTTGGTGAGGAAGCTACGCTTGAGGGCGACACCTATCCCACCAGAGTTGGGAGCAGCATCGGAGTCGGACCAATCGATGCGATATTCTCGGCAAAGCTTCCTCGTCAGAGTCCTGCTTCTCGATTGGGCCGAGTGCGCTTCAAGGAAGAACGTGAAGTCGTGGCGGTGGCAGAGCTCAACAGCATACTGAAATTTCCGCTTGCGGCGGATATGGTCGACGCAGCATAATCCACGCGCGTTCCAGACGCATCCAGACAAGTTGCCCGTGTAGTACCGGGAGTAAAGGGGTGGGTGCTCCGATGGTGCTGAATCCGTCTCGCTCCTCCTGCGCACCCGCGTTGATGAACACGTGGCCCCCTCTACAACTATACGTTATGAGTCCTACTCCCCTCTCTCCCCTCACTCTGTCTGGAGAATGCGCTGCCATCTCCGCGCATTGTGCTTACGCAGAGATTTGGAGACAAGTGTTGTGCCTCCCCGCTGCTGTTGTTCATCCCTCCTCCTCCTCCTCCTCCTCCTCCTCCCTCCTCCCCTCCTCCTCCCCCGCCCTCCTGCTCAGCTCCTCCGCCTTCCCCTGGTCCCCGTGCACCTCCAACTCCTTCCACTTCATGCCCTGCTGCTGTTCGTCCTCGTCTTCCTCCTTCCTCGTCTCCCTGGTTACCTCACATTTGTTTTTCTGTTCAACCACCACCACCTCCTCCTCCTCCTTCTCTATGTGCGCAGCTCCCCTCGTGCATACTGCGCGTGACACGATGGGGGTCTCTGTTTAGAAGTTCCAGCTCAGTTATGGCACGCGTCCGTGGATAGCACACAGCACAGCGCAACGATAATGGCTGGGAGGGAGGGATCATATATCAGATATCGCGCGAGCGCACCTCTCTTGGCCTTTACCCTGCCCCGCTCCTCCTCCTCCTCCTCCTCCTCCTGCTCCTCCTCCTCCTCCTCCTCCTCCTCCTGCCGCTCCTCCTCCTCGTCCTCGTCCTCCTCCTCGTCCTCCTCCTCCTCCTCCTACTCCTCCTTCATCCGCCCCCATGTTCCACCGTCCTCCTGTCCCTGTGCGTCCCCGTCCTCCCTCCTCACACCGTTATTCCTCCTCCTCCTCCTCCTCCTCCTCCTGCTCCTCTCCTCATCCTTTTCCTTCTCCTCGCCCTTCTCACTCTCCCTGAAATAACGAGGGACTTCTGAGCACACTGGTATGTCTGGGGAGCCCCAGTGGTCGGCGCCGCCTGCCTCGGCGAGTACCGAGCTGAGTCCGGAGACCAGCCAACCGCTGTGCTGGCTGCAGGTGGTGGGGGGGGCCTTGGCGCCAGGGCCCCTTGTGGGGCGGTGGGCTTGGCGGGCGGTTCCTCGAGAGCCCTCTGGTGGCGAGGCTCTCCTTCCCCAAAAGGCAAGCGAGCCTACCTCGATTTCGACCACCTCGGATCGAACAAGGAGACCCAGCGGCACCAAGCTGCGTGTGGGGTGGCCCGTGGCGGCCAGGCTGCTCGACGAGGAAGCACCTGGCATGACTCGGCTTTGCCTGGGAGCGACAGCGGTGTAGGTGATCCACCCTTTGATTCTCGGTGAGGAGCAGGGCTCGACCAAAAAAGGTGCTCTCCGATGTCGCTTGCTCCCGCTTTCCCGCGGCTTGCCTTCCTCCTTTGCTGCAGAGCGGCATCAAGACGAAGCCGGCCCACGAAGTCCAGACCCCCGACGTCGTGACCTGTTCACACAACGTCGACCCCCCGAGGCCCCCGAGGTCTCGGCCCATTCCCCGGGACCGATTTTTCATGTTAACAAATAATTGTACGTCGGGCGTGTCCCCCTACAGGGGGATTTTCGACGAAAAATAAAAGTACCCCAAAAATAATCCAAAAATATGTCTGGGGACTATTTTTGAATATTATTTCTATTTTTTGATTTTTTTTGCCCATTTTGGAGCATGTTTGGAATATGTTTAATTTTTCGTCGGAAATCCCCCTGTAGGAGGACAGGCCCGACTTAAGGGTAGGGCCCCCCCGGAGGCCGAAAGTAGTGAAAACCCTCCCGCCGTGATTCTGTCACAGCGCGAGGGGGCCTGGGAATCGCCAGCACACCGCTCAGGTCGAGCCCTGGCGCGGAGACCCCGAGCCACTCGTCTGGCCATCAACGCCCGCACACGGGAGAGAAAGGGCGCGTGAAAGAGCAGCGCCGGAGCGCGCGCGCGACCAGCGCCGTCCCAGACATCTGGCGCCTCGAAAAAAAATCTAGCCATCTAGGCAGTGGTTTTCCATTGTTTTCGGCCTCTCGGGACCCTTACGGGACCGAAGGATTGCAAAAAAAAACAAAGGATTGGGAAAAAACGAAGTATTGCAAAAAAGCGAAGGATTGCAACGAAGGATTGCAAAACAAAAGTTAGTTTGCAATCCTTCGCAAAAAAATGTTGTTTGGCAATCCTTCGTTTTTTTGTTTGCAATCCTTCGGGACCGGCAGAAAACGACTCGGGATGAAAAGCCAGTGCCGGGGGTGGTCGAGAGGTCGGGGGCCCGCGTCTCGAAAAAATCGAGACGCCGGATGTCTGGGATTGGCCCCCCAGCTGCAAGACGAAGCCAGGACGAGAATAACATCGTGTGAGGATCAATCGAGAGTCTCTGAGATCTGGCGGCTTTTTCGAGGATGTCTCGGGCGCCGCGGCTTTCTCAGAGCGTTCTGGAACGCTCTGAGAGCGTGCCGGAACGCGCTGGAGCGGATTATCATCGTCCCAGCCCCGTCCGAAGCTGGCACATAGTGTGTTGTGTATAATCGGGAGGGTGGCGACGCGGCGCAACTTCCTGGCGAAACTGAAACTCTATGCCGTGAAAAAAAAATCAGCCCACTGCGGTGAACAATAATCGGCCCATGGCCGATATTTCAACCCCACCAAATACCGGACAATGCGACACTCGGCCACAGGAACCCCAGGGGCTCAAGCGGTCAGCAGACATTGCGGAACAGCCACCCGTAGGAACACACGGGAACCTGGGCGACCATCGAACAGAGCGGCAAACATCCATAGGCTCTCGTCGGAACCCAAACAGCCACGGACCATCAAACACTGCGGAGGACATCCGTGGGAACCGATCTACAACATCCAAACAACAACTGGAAATTGCGGTACACCCACAGGAGCCCAACCGGCCACCAGACAAGACGGCACACAACCGCAAAAACCAAACTGATCACAAGAAATTGTGGCAAACGGGTCATGCCCGTTCGAAAACATGTAAGGCCTGATCAGTGCAAGCAAATACCGCGTTGGGGTCTAGAGAAAGCATGCCTTGCTCCTCCTCTCCGTGCTATCTGCAACTCTTAGGCCGACTGCATTTGCACGAGATCTCGATACCATCTGCGAAACTCGCTCTCGCCTTAATGCAACGGGCAACGACTCTGGGGGCGAACTATTGTCGCTGTCCCGAGAGGTCCATGCATAGAGATACGGAACTGGAGGATGAGAAGAGCCGCAGCATCACGATGACGGAGGGAGAGAGAGCAAAATGGAGGGGCACGCGACCGATGACCTGGCGGATATCAACATAAGCTAGTCGCTTGCCCTCGCATAGGTCCTCAGCTTCATCGCCGACGAAAATCACCTCGCCCGTCGCTCATCACTCCACGCCACCTCGCTCAAATCGTTGCGCTCCGCTGCACCCCCCCACCTTGTTCTCCCGTCCCCTCCCGCCCCCACTCGCCTTCCGCGTCACCCCGCCCCTTGCCTGCCACTCTGCGCACGCGCTCATGCTGCACAGCGTGCCCCCGCAAAACTCCAAGCCAGTTCCAGTGATTGAGCCTCTGTGCTCGGGCAACGCAGCGTCAAATCTAGCTCCGCTGCGTGTCCCGCACCGCTCCCTTCTAACCCTCCTCTCCCCCCTCCCCCGTCTGATCTTTTCGGCGCCCTTTCCTTCATCTCTCAATGCGTCCGTTTCCTCCCCCCGTCGTTCCTGAAGCAACACGCACACGCTTCTCTAATGTCTTCTTACCGCTGACCTCTGCTACGGGCACCGCCTCCGAGATATGTTTTGTGACCCACGCACCCTGCCGTTACAGAGCACTGAGCGCAGAACCGTCTGGCTCGTCTGATGTTGCTGACCAATCAACTAAAAAACGCTATCCGCGCAACCCCACCACCTCTCGCTCACTCGTGGGATTATTGCATCCTCTCCAGCGTGCGTCATTGCTTTTTGTACTGGGTGATAACCTGGGGATCAGCACTGAACTTGATCGACCGACACCCCGACGCGGGAATTTCGAATCGGAGACTGTCATCGAATACTATGACAACCATCTGGCTTTGGCTTTGCAAAACCAGCACAAGCCAGCATGGTGCACCACCCCACCATCACTTTGCGTTTTGCAATCGATTTTCGGAGGCAGGCTCCCCCAGAAGGCTTACAATCAACCCCTGAATTCGGACAGCCACCGGCAGTCCCAACACACATTCTACACTAAACATCTCCACTCTCTCGCATAGGCCAAACGTCAACATTGGAAATCGTGTGACAATCGACGTACGGGAAACTTTTTCCGTCAGCGGCGAGGCGGCGAAATCCGCTCCAGCGTGAAGCTGGGTAGGGGCACTAACTAGCGAACTGGCCGGCGAGCAGAGAGTGAGGGGGGGACGGCCGAGAGGAAGAAGATACGCTCAGACGCCGAAGAGTTCGACGATGAGCAGCCCGGCGGGCAGCAGCAGCCGGGCGCGACGTACCTGAAACACAAAACCAAACGTTTGCGTTCGTGCCCTCCCCCAAACGTCAAATCCTAGAATCTGATTTCGGGGGATGGGGGGGCGCCTACGCCCAGCACCCGGCACCGTGCCTTCGGCACTGAATGGAGTGTCCCCGTGTCCCGTGGAAGCCCCGAATACAGTCGGACTTGATTGGAGAGGACACGCGAGAGGACACAAGGCCCTTCCGAGAGCCACGTTGCCACAGAAATGCAGGAGGCATGGGTCGCAAGACACAGGACACGAAGGTACCCTTGATCTGGCCAGGTCGACCTACTCATCCGGGTGGAATCTTGAGCGTCGCAGAGCTACAGGAGTCCGGGCGACGGACACCAAAGGGCCGCACTTCTTGGAGCGTCGCGCGCGACTCTCGGGCGGGGCACGTGGCCTTCTCGAGGATGCCAGGGCGAGAGAGCCACGACGGGCCAAGCGGGTCCCGAGAGGTGCACGATTTCCCCCGGGGCCGTAGGCGACCCGAGGAGGAGGAGGAGGAGGAGGAGGAGGGAGGAGGAGGAGGAGGAGGAGAAGGAGGAGGGGGAGGAGGAGGAGGAGCAGGGGAGGAGGAGGAGGAGGAGGAGGAGGAGAGGAGGAGGAGGAGGAGGAGAGGAGGGGGAGGGGGAGGAGGGGCAGGGGGAGGAGGAGATGAGGAGGAGGAGGAGGAGGAGGAGGAGGGGAGGAGGAGGAGGAGGAGGAGGAGGAGGAGGAGGGTGGAGGAGGAGGAGGAGGAGGAGGAGGAGGAGGAGGAGGAGGGGAGGAGGAGGAGGAGGAGGGAGGAGGAGGGGGAGGGGTCGCTTAAAACCCTTCGGAGAAACCCTCCACCGAGAGGCCCTCGAGGGCTCCGGGTCGGCACGCGCGCGCCCCAGGAGACGGCGAAGTCGCCCTGCGGGCGGCCCAAGACGCCACCAAGATGCCCCGGCAGGGCCCCTTACAGGGGAGGCCAGTCCACAAGGAAGCTTCAACAAGGAACCCAACCCTGAGACCCCAGACCGTCCATGGTTTTTTGGCGTGGGAACGTCACGCTTTCCATAGCAAAACCATCGAGACCCCAGAACGTCCATGGTTGTCTGGCGTGGGAACGTCACGCTCTCCATCGCAAAACCATCAAAACTCAAGAAACCCACGGAAACTTGGAGGCAAACGGGGTGTTTCTTGGTATGGGCCTCCACTGCATGCCTCGCTTGGGGGGGTCCGCGCGTTTCGTGGCCCCATCGGGAGCTCCACCGAAGGCCCCAATGCCACCGTCCACATGCGCCCCGAAACATCCAATTTGGCATTTTCACCCGCCCATTACAACGCTTCGTGGCCTCATAGGGAGTTCCACCGAAGGCCCCAATGCCACCGTCCGCATGCGCCCCGAAACACCCAACTTGGCATTTTTACCCGCCCAATACTCCGTTTCGTGGCCCCCCTGACCTTCCAGAGAGCTATTTTTTAGCACTGGAGGCCTAAACACCTAAAAACCTGAGCGACACAACCTAAAACCAAGACGTAGAATAGCTTCGGGATGGGTTTGTAGGTCGGGTGCTATCAATTTGGCCCTCCTGGAAGGCCAGGGCCCAAAAAGAAGCGCTCGAGATCGCCCCCCCACGGCCCAGGGCCCCCCCAAGAGGACCCCAGCACGGCACGCAGGAGGGCAGGAGGGTCCCAGGGCGGCCTGCGATCAGGAGGGGAAAAAACACACAGACACAATTAATCGTCGATTCCAAGGAAAATATTGGAAAATATGGGAAGTGTGGGGGGGAGACATAAACCCAGAAAGTATGGGAAACTATAGGGGGATCCTGTTATTTGTGTATATTTATTTGTGTGTCCCTGGGCCCCTTCATGCGAGGCCTCCGCGCGCGCCCCGGGAGGGGCCCACGAGGGGGGGAGCTCGAGCAAGGCCTCGGGAGCCTTTTCTACCGACGCGCCACCGGAGGCCCCGGGTGGGTCTTCAAGAGGCCCCCCCCCACCCAGACATCCAACGCATTGACACAAATCAAGACGGAGGTTTTTCCCAACTTTCGGCCTCTAGGGGCCTCGGGACCGTCAACAAACGACTCAGGGTGAAAAACCGGTCGCGGGGGAGGGGTCCAGACCTCTGGGGGTCGACGTCATGAAAAAATCATGACGTCTGGGATCTGGGCAGGTCGGAAGCCGGGCCCCCGAGATCTCCCGAGAGCCCTCTCGAGAGGCCTCCGAGAAGCCCCCGAGAGGCATCCAGAGAGACCCCAACGGGCATCCGACAGGCCTCCGGCAGCGGAGCGGGCCGGCAGCCACCACATCCGCCGCCCCCCTCGGCTTGCAGCACGTGCGCCTGCAGTGCCAGATCGGCGGCGGGCGAGGGGGGGGGGCAGCGAGAAGGAGCAGGCCTTCTCGGAATGCTCGGAGTTCCCCCGGTCTTTCAGAGAAGGTTCCTGAGCCTTCCCTGAAGACACAACGGAGACTTGTCAGACGGCGCGAGGGGCTTCTGAGAAGCCCCGCCGCCTTCTCAGAGGACCCTCTCCTTCTCCTTTCCCACCCCCGCTAGCCGCCGACCAGATCTTTGAGCACGTCTGGCCTCTCACTCCGCAAGGTGACTGCTGGCATCCGGCCCATCCCGCCGACTGCACATCCCGTTGGCTTTCTCGTGCACGCTGGCTCCAAGATGGCCTCCAGAGGGCTCCCAGGTTGCCAGGATGGCCAGAGATGGCCTCCAAGACTGTCTCAAGACGACTGCAAGATGGCTAAGGGTGGCCCCGTAGGGTACCGATTGGCCTCAACGACGTGCCAAGATGGCTACAAGACGGCTCATGATGGTCCCAAAGACCGCTCAAGAGGCCATCTGTGAGGACGCGATATCCCAAATAATGTGTTGCCCGTTCGTTCTTGAAGAGTGTTCGCTTTCCTACCTTTGCGGACTGCGAACTGCCCAAGACGGCCCAAGAGACATACACGATGGCCCCACCACAGCACAGGGAGGCTCCCGAGAGGACTCCTAAACGGCTCAAGAGAGGACGACGCCCCCAAGACGGCCCCAGAGACGCTAAATGAGGCCCGCAAGACCCCTAAGACGCCACTGACGCCCCAAGAAGCCACACGGAGGCCCAAGAGTTCCCTAGGAGGCCCCAAGAAGCCCCCTCTTCCTCCTCCTCCTCCTCCTCCTCCTCCTCCTCCTCATTCTCCTCCTCCTCATCCTCCGTATTCCCCCGCTCCTCCAATTTTCTCTCTTCCACCTCCCAAGTGTCACCCAAAGAGTCTCCACAGCGGCCCGGGAAGTCGACATGGCCCGATAGCTCAGCAAGAAGTTCACACCGACGTTTGGCCACACATGCGTTTGCAGAATGTATCGGGGATGGACAGACCTCCCTTTAGTAAAACGTGGTTTAGTGAAAACGACCTGAGGCCCAAACCTGGCGGGCGAAAGCCTGGAGAATAACGGCCACGGCGCCCTCTCGACAACCGAAAACGGACAATTCACTAATCGACGTGTCACTATTGGGGGTTCTGTCCTCCCCCGAATGTAGGGGGGGAGAGGGGCTGCGGTGGATGGCTGTCGGCGCCTGCGATCCACACCGTCAAACAGGGACGGCCCGGCTCGCAAGGAAGGGCCAAGAGACAGCGCAATACTCCGGGTGGCTGGCATCTACTGTAACACGATGACTACCTACCAGACCACCCCAACCCAACCCGAAGACCCGAATTTCGGGTTGGGGGGGGTATGAGCTCCACATGTGTTTTTTCGATGTTCCCGGACCCCCCCCTACTAGAAATCGAGGGTAAATCAGACCCTTCGGGTTGGGTTGGGGTGGTTTGGTGGGTGGAGACACGAAACATTGTAGGGTCTCCCAGATCGGGACATGGGCCCCTGTCCCGATCTGGGCGACCCTACCATGCAGCAGCGGCGGCGGCTTCGAGCAGAGGGGGGCACGGGGAAGCGGGATAAGAGAAGAAAGGCGCGCAGTGTTGCGGAGAGGAAACGACGGACGCATCAACGAAAGATCTCTGGAAGACCAATCGTCGCCGAAAAAATCCGTAGTATAAGTTCTACATTTGGGAAAGGATTGGTGTCTATAGATACACTCCTCCGAATGGGATCGCGTTCGAAGCTGAGCGACACCTGGACACGCCTGCTCCCAAGAGGGGCCCCAAAAAAGAGGGAGCATTCAGGCAGATGCCTGCGTACCCCGTAAACGCACAACCCGAATGCAAACTCCAGATCTCACCGGAGGGTTGAGGGATACTCGAAATCCCTTAATAGTCGGCAACCCCCTGATAAGCCCTGATAAACCAGACCCCTCCTTGAACGGCAACCTAATTTTCTGGACCCCCTGTCAACGGGGGCATTCAGATTCCGGACCCCACTCGTCTTCGGTTCAATGAAACCGCCCTAATAAACGAGACCCCCCCGCTTCCAAAAAAGGCGCCTTAAAAAATAGGGGCCGGGGGACAATTGTTAAAGGATTTCGAATAGAGCTTGCACTCGGCTGGGTCCCAACGAAAAACCAAACCTGCCACGATGGCCTGGCAATATCAAGCCGGGTAAATGAGGCGACGCCTCCAACGCGTAGCACATGTAAGCACGGCGTTTAAGCTTCATGGCAAGCCGGCCCATATCGACTAAGTTAAATAATGATATCACTCCGATGTTGCCGACCTTTCCCTGGGACTGTTTTTGGCATTATTAAATTGATTGAAAGGCTTCAACAAGTGCGGCACTAGACAGAAGAACTCCGACCTAACTACATTGTATGTATGGATTGGCTCGTACAGGCCCATCACACGGATGAGTGGAATGTTCGTGTTCAATGGTTTCGGTGACGTGACCTCCAACTCATTTGTCCCGTACTTCTTCTCAACATCATTCGGAGTATTACCATGCATGTTCATACTCGGCATGCAGTGAAGCAACACAGAACACAATAATAAACTACCAACACAAAGCTAACCGCATGCACGTAACACGCAGCAACCAAGCAACACAACGAGCAACCGAAACCACTGCCACATCACAGTTGATGCCCCCTGAGCTACGTACGACAACATTCGGAGGCGGAATTGCATCAGGCTGAATGCGAGATCGAAGTGTCTTAGATATTCCGCGCAAGGCTGGATTCACATGGCGCGAAGAGACAGGGCGTGTCGGGGGAGACAGAGAGAGAGAGAGAGAAAGGGATGGGGAAGTGCGCATGGTCTATGAGCTCCAGGGGACGTGCGCTGCTCGGCATGCGGTTGAAACGAGCCCTGCCTCCGAGTCAGGCTGTGCCCGACCGGCGCATCATCTGTCCCCGCTCCCTCTCTTCGGCAGCACCGAAACATGCCCTTCGTCCTCCCCTCCTCCAAATCCACCCCCTCTCCTCCTGTTCCTGCTCCTCCTCCTCCTCCTCCTCCACGATTGCTCCCTCTCACCCTAGCCTTATGGCTCCTTCCGTGCGCCTCACCCTCCTCCTCGCTACCATTCTCCAACTCATCAACTGCTCCTCGTACCCCCTGCTCGATCTCAACGTGCATGCCATCCACTTCCACTTCCACACACACACGCACACACCCTGCTTCTGCTCCTCATCCTCAACCTCCTTCATTTGGATGTCGCTGGCTGACGTGACGCAGCAGACGATCTGTGACTGACTGCTCCTCCCGGCCCGCCTTCACAAAATACAGCGCGTGCATACCAATGCAGAGGTAGCACTGCGCTGCCGCCTGAGTCAGGGTATACTCGCCGCCCCCACTCACCCTCCGGCGTAGGCGAAAGACATCGACGGAGGGAGCGAGGGGGACGAGGAGGACCACAGAAATAGGGAAGGGCGAAGGGAAGGTGACAAGAAGGCTCGAATCAATAAGCGGGGCGGAGGGCTAAAAACATGGGAGTGGCGCTGATGATGGAAAGAACGGGATACCTACACGACCACCTTTAGGTTGATAAGGAGGTTGGGGGGGGGAAGAACCAACTGCTGGCGAATGTGATGGGTGTGATGATAACGATGCTGGAGACACGCCCTCGAGTTAGCGATAACGCGTGATGATGATGTTGCACTGCGATGTAATTCGGGTTGGCCCAAAAGGGGGTCCAGCGACAAGGGGGTGGTGCAATAGATTTGGTGCAATAGATGTGTGGGGTTGCACTACATTCGGGGCGTGCAATACATTCCGGGGCGCAAATGTATTGCTGGATTTTCGCGTGCAATACATTAGTTGCAATACAATGCAATCCAACTCTCCAGAGCAATACGTTTGCAATAGAATTGCCCCAAATCTATTGCACCACCCCCTTGCAGCTGGACCCCCTTTCGGGTCGCCCAGAGTAATGTCACTACCGCCCACAGCTTCTATCTCGCAGCCAATGTCACACTTAACCTCTCTGTATATCTTACTTTTGATCTCACTATCCACCCCATTCTAGCGATCTCTTTATCGATCTCACGATCGATTTCAGAATCGATACCAAGACGGGACACCCCCAGCCAACTCCCGCCCACCGCCCACAGAACACCGACGGGACACAAACGGCACATCACAGGACACCACGGCGGGACACCCCGGGCCACCACGCGCCCACTGGGGGCGGAGGGGCGGTCCAATGTATCCGAATCGCTCTAGCGACGGCGGGGTCATTCCCCTCGCGCGCCCACGCAGCTCCGCCTCGCCCGCACGCACGATGCGAGCACGACACCGAAATCGACATCCAGGTGGGCGGGCTCACCGTTCCACTGAGAGCTCACCCCCCAGCCTCCGATGTAATCAGAAAAACGTGCACAGAGAGAGAGAGAGAGAGAGAGAGAGCGAGCGCAAGAGAGACTCGGCGGCGAGCGGGGCAGGGCTTCCCAGAAGGCTCGGCAGTCCCCCGGCCTTCTGAGGAGTTTTCGAAGCCTTCCCCGAAAACGCAGCGGACCCCTCAGAAGGCCAGGGGGGGTTCTGAGAAGTCCCGCCGCCTTCTGAGGAGGCCTTCTCCTTCTCACTTCCCCCCCTCGCTTGCCGTCGAGAGACAGAGAGGGAGAGAAAGAGGGAGAGAGGGAGAGAGAGAATGTAAACAAAGGGCCGAGGCAAGGATGACGAGGGATCTGGCGGGCGCGCTGGCACACTACATGCCAGCGCGTGCACATGGACGCACAACGTCGTTGCATGATGTTGGAGCGCGGAGGAAGGAGAGGAGGAGGCGGAAGGAGCATCAGGAGGAGTAGACAGAAGCAGCAGGCGGCAATAAGCACGAGCGAGTAGGGACGAGGAAGACAGTGAGGACAGAGAGGAATGCTTTGAGGAGGGGGAGGACGATGACGAGGAGGAGGAGGAGGAGGAGGAAGAGGAGGAGAAAGAGGAGGAGGAGGAGGAGGAGGAGGAGGAGGAGGAGGAGGAGGAGGAGGGGGAGGGGGGGGAGGGGGAGAGGAGGAGGAGGAGAGGAGGAGGAGGAGGAGGGGGGAGGAGGAGAGGAGGAGGAGGAGGAGGAGGAGGAGGAGGAGGGGAGGAGGAATATCAAGTAGATGATGGGGAATCAAACGGGTATGGCACGCTGCCCCAATATACGTGATCTGGCCCGCGGCGCTCGTGCAGAGGGGTGCGCTGAACACCACACAACAAGGAGGGGGCATCATGAGGAGGAGGAGGCGGAGGAGGAGAAGGAGGAGGAGGAGGAGGATAAGGATAAGGAGGATAATGAGAGGAGGGGAAGAGGAGGAGGAGGAGGAGGAGGAGGAGGAGGGAGGAGGAGGAGGAGGAGAAGGAAGAGGAGGAGAAGGAGTAGGAGGAATAGGAGAGGGAGGAGGGGGAGGAGGAGGGGGAGGAGGAGGGAGAGGAGGAGGAGGAGGAGAAGGAGAGGAGCAGGAGGTGGAGGAGGGGGAATCATGAGGAGAAGGAGGAGGAGGAGCAGGATAAGGAGACGGAGGGAGGATGGGGAGGAGCGGTGGAGCAGGTGGAGGAAGAGCAGCACGTGGAGGAGTGAAGGAAAAGGAGAAGGATGGAGGAACAGTGGGAATGATAAGGAGGACATCGAGGAAGAGGAGGAGGAAGGCAAACAAGAGGAGGGTCAGGAGGAACAGGATGGAGGTAAACCGAGGAGGAGAGGGTGAGAGCGCAAACTAAGAAGATGGGGAACAACGTGACTGTCGCGCCCTGACATCCCGACAACTTGCCAACACATGCCTTTTGGGACGTCATCCGTGAGAATCCTTGAGATTGCTGCAAGCTCTTAAAGCGAATGTGCGCGGCACTAAGGCGAGAACAACGTTTTGAACATGAATCGCCCACCTTCCGTGAAGATCTTGCACACTATACCCCGTCCGTGGAACTCTTGCGCATCTCATGCTCCAGGACCAGCAATGGCTAAGGAGTCTCAGGCGAAACGCCTGGCTCGCCCTTTCGACCGGCCTCGGGGTGCGACAGGGGAGAGTTATCTATAAGGAAAAGGAACGGAGAAGGAGGGGATGCGAAGCAGCAGCGGCAAAAGGAGCAGCAGGAACAGGTGGGAAAGATGGTTGGGGAGCGCAAGGAGACTGGGAGGAGAAAAAGAAGGTGGAGGAGGGAAGGGCGGATGAGACGTACTCGCAGACAATGAGTGTATGACCAGATGCACATACATCAGTCAATGCACGTCCGCATACTCAAAAGACTGTAAAGGCAATGTCTCGACGTATCGCTCACACTTTATGATGTTCGCTTTGCTTCCGGACTACTTCGGCATGCAACTGCCTGCATGGTCAACTGCGGTTCTTGATGCGACATGACAACACATGCGGCGTTCAAAACGTGATCACAATCTGGCAACTCACTGAGGCAATGCCTCAGATCGTGCCCCCGAGGATCGCATGCGGAAGGGAGGGCACATACAGATTGTGTGAGTCGCGAGATGCCTATTCTGCCCCTTCGACAGTCGATAGCGATGACAAAAGATGACCCTCTCGAGTGGCACGCGTGCGCAACATGCGACAGGAGCCTCGCTGTCATGGGTACTCCGCACCTGCACCTTTAGGAAGGAAAAGCGGCATGATTATAAACTTGCGCCCTCCCGCGCGGATTTCTTGAATCGGCGCCTGACCCCACTCCCTGGCACGGGGGGCGCGCCAGGGGCGCCGCTGCAGGCGCCGTCAGAGGGGCCCCCGCGCCGATCTGACAAATCCGAGCAGAGCTCCGACGGTGTACGTTATTGCATCTGTGTCTCCGTCGAAACTTGCTGGGAAAGCAAACAACAGAGCTGACAGCTACTCCCCGGACCTCTTCTGGGGTGCGTTCTGACTTGAATTTCGAGGCGAATCCAGTGGTGGCGACGAGGGCCTCCCGAGAGGCCCCCCAAGGGGATAACGAGGCAAGGGTAGCGGTATGGTTACACTTTTTCCTCCTCTGAAAACCTTGTCGAACCACTGTAACGCGTCTTTGCACGTCGCCGCGAGGCACTGCCGCATGATCGGATCCGTCGACATGGCAAGAACTTCTGCCGGCTGCACGAGGCAGCCGGGACCGGCCTGCCACAGCCCTGCGCATCCCTCATTCGCCTCCTCCTCCTCCTCCTCCTCCTCCCCCTCCTCCTCCTCCTCCTCCTCCTCCTCCTCCTCCTCCTCCTTCCTCCTCCTCCTCCTCCTCTTCCTCCTCCGCCATCCTCCTCCTCCTCCACCTCCCTCCTCCTCCTCCTCTCCCCTCCCTCCTCCTCCTCTCCTTCTCCCCTCCTCCTCCTCCTCCTCCTCCTCCTCCTCCTCCTCCTCCTCCTCCTCCTTCGCTCAGAACCCTCGGAAGTATAATCTCTTGTGGATCGAATTTCTTGACAATTCGAGCACCATGACCCTCTGCAAAGATTGCGTCTCCTACATGGAGCACAATAGGGGTCTCAATTAGGATAGCTCGTGGAAGCCACAGACGTCAGGTGCTGCCGACCGTCTCGCCAAGGCTCTCTCTTTGCGTCACCCGAAAGGGGGCAATAATTCGCCCGTCGTTTTCAACCCTCTGATCCCATGGCCCAATTTTACCGCCAGACCCTCAGGGAACTGGCAGCAGCCCAAGGCTCTGCTGCAGGGGCATCTTTCGCCGCATGAGCTTCGGAGGCGCATCGCCTGTCTCCGCGCTGGGGCGCGGTGGACTTCAAAACACAGTGACCAAGCGCCACAAGGATTCGGGTTCGGGTCGGGTCGGCCAAGCCTTAGCCTTCCTCATAGCCAAGCGACGGTCCTCCTCCTCTTAATTATCCTCCAAATCCTACTCCTCCCCCTCCTCCTCCTCCTCCTCCTTCTCCTCCTCATCCTCCGCCTACTCCTCCTCCTCCTCCTCTTTCTCCCCCCCCTCCTCCTCCCCCTCCTCCTTCTTCTGCTCCTCCTCCTCCTCTCTCCTCCTCCTCCCTCCTCCTCCGCCTCCTCCTCCTTCCTTCTCCTGTTCCTCCTCCTCCTCCCTCCTCCCTCCCTCCTCCTCCTCTCCTCCCCTCCTCCTCCTCTCCTCCTCCGCCTCCTCCCCTCCCCCTCCTCCTCCTCCTCCTCTCTCTCTCCGCCTCCTCCTCCTCCTCCTCCTCCTCCTCCTCCTCATCATCATCATCCGCCTCCTCCTCCTCCTGCTCCTCCTCCTCCTCTCCTCCTCCTCTTCCTCCTCCTCCTCTCCGCCTCGGCATCCGCCTCCGCCTCGCCTCCTCCTCCTCCTCTTCCTCCCCCTTCTCCTGTTCCTCATCCTTCTCCTCCTCCTCCTCCTCCTCCTCCTCCTCTCCTCCTCCTCCCTCCTCCTCCTCCCCAGTCCTCATCCTCCTCCTCCTCCCCCTCCTCCTCCTCCTCCTCCTCCTTTTCCTCCTCCTGCTCTTCCTCCTCATCCTCATCCTCCTCCTGCTCTGCCGAGAAACATTGCCCCGTTCGATTATTTGAGCCGCGTGTTCATGTGGCTGACCTCTTTCAGACAGGTGGTACGAACAGCGAAAGCAACACACCTAAATTACATATGTACTGGCAGATGTCTGAGCCATTACCATCCAGGACGGATGGCGTGTCCTCGGTTAAATGAAAAATGCCCCCCAGAGTCGGACTTGCCATCTTCCGCTTCACCGCCGCAACCGCTCGCGGTACTGAAGACACACCCTGACGAGAGTGCATTCCATCCATTATGGGAGGATCATGGCAAATTGCGCTGCTAGCGTAACAGTCCAGAAAACGAAACGAATCTGGCAACACGCCACCAACGATTTCGTTTTCCTCCGCATGCATCTCCGCTCGTAATGCCTTCTGGGAGGGCGATGTTCGCCCCCCTTGAGAGTCAATGCTTGAAACAATGTGTTTGCCGCCGCTCCATGCTCTATCCTACTCCTCCCGCGTATGCTCCTCAACTTTCCCCTCCTCCTAATCCTCCGTCCGTTTCATCATCCTGCCGCGTGGACCAGCCCTCCTCCTGTACTTCCTCCTCCCCGGTTCCTCGTCCTCCTGCTTCTCCGTCAGGGGTGAGGGGACCGAGGGGTCCTACTGACCCTGGCTGAGCACTCATATCGGACTAACGAATCATGTTGGTATCACTGTTCCAGCGCCCAGTTCCTCCTGTAGTGCACACTTCGAGGCTGGCGGAATGTATCTGTGTCACGGAATCCTTCCAGCTCAAACTGCGATGTTAGCCTCGCGCTAGAACAAAAAAAAACTCCCGTCTGCGACTCCCTCACAATCGATTCAGACATCGCGCTCTCGCTTGACAGCTTGAGACGTCCGTGCAATTTGCTCAGGTACTGCGCGAGTACGAAACTCGCGGGAGCGATCGCACATGGGAGGGAAAGAATAGGGCGCTCTTTTCCTCCACGCTCGGATGCTTGAGCCAACGGCTACGGACACGATAGCTTGCACCGCGAACGCCGCGATGCACAATCCCATGATGTGGGATAGCTCATGGCCGCACGCTGCTACACAATGATATGCACAAGCTTGCATCAGGCTTGCTACCTTCACTTTCCTAGGCTATGTAGTTCACCACGCCTCCTCAGAGCGCGGCGCGGGACAGTCGCCAAGCACTGCCTGCTCTCACTACACTAGCCTGAACCCTGGGCGCGGGGCGCCTTCCGCTGCCCAGGCCACGGCCTCAAAAGCCTCATCGGTTGGAGCGGCACGGATGCTCACCTCCACCGGATCGCCACGCCTCCGAGGAAGACCTCCGAAGGCTCATCCATCGCACCGCGATGGGGTCATCTGCAGCCTCGCGTGCGTACTGCTTCCCATTCGCCTCCTCGAGGCTCATCCGCTGTCGCGGCCTGGAGCCGCAGACGCGGGTGCTGTCGCGGGAGTTCCGCTGACCAGCGACCCAGGCGCGGGGCTGACCGCAGCCTAGGTGACAGCCACATCAGCCATGGCTGTGTTCAGGCACGTAAGGTTCACGATGCCCTGTATCGTCGCTTCTTGCTCCTACGCTCGTCCTCCTCCTCCTCGTCACGCCGCCGCAGGCGGCCGCGGGCTTCCACTTGCTCCTGGACCTTGCGCGGTCGGCGCGCCCAGTCCCAGAGGCGCACCAGCCCCCAGGTCAGAAGAGCGACGAGCATATAGTTGATGAGCTTGGAGTCCTCGCACTGCGGCTTCACCGCGCACGTCAGCTCCTCCTGCGCCTCCTGGGCGGCCCGCGTTGCAGGGGCCGCTCCCAGGGCCACCAACACCGCCAGGAACCTGCGGCACGTAGGCCTTGCCAGGGGGAGCAGTTTCATGAGCTCCTGGTGCCTCTTCGGCTCCAATGCCTTCGTTCCCAGGTCGGCGATGTTGGTCTCGCCGGGGACCTTCTTGAGGATGATCTGCTTCTCCCGGACGGCGTCCTGGACCCAGAGCCATCGCGTCGCGATATGGCGGGTCTTCCCCACGCCGCTCCTCGAGCTGATGCCGATGGCGGCGCTGGCGTCGCTGCCGACGGTCACGGACCATGCCGCTCCGGCACCGCGCAGATCCGCGATCTCCTTGAAGAGGCTCTGGGTCATGATACCCCTGGCCGCACCGTCGACGATGCCGTAAAGCTCGGCCTCCGCACTGGAGAGGGCACGGACCTGGTCAGTCACGACCCAGGACTCGATCAAATGCGAGCCCACGAACTCGCAACCTGCGTGGGTCGAGTACCGGTCTGGCTCCTCGGCCCAGTTGCTGTCGACCGGGATCCAAGAGCCACCTGCCTCCGGCTCGTGCTTGAAGACGAGCGCCAAGAACGGGCAGCCTGCGAGGTACCGCGCGCAGCGGTCCAGCCTTGCATTGCCTAGCCGGCGAGGCGTGGACATCTGCTCGCCCAGTTCCTTGGCCGAGTACTGGATGTCGAAGCGCCCGGACGACACGTACAGCACGCGACCGGTGTCGCTACGATACTTGGTCTGCGACTCGCCGTCGAGCTCGTCGAGGATCGCCGGATCGTCCCTGCCGATGTGCTTGCTGCATGGGCTCCCTTGGGGCTTAGCTTTGAGCTTGCCCGTGCTTTCCAAGAGCATCGTAACGTGTTTCGGGTCCTCGTTCCACTCGTAGCCGAATCCCGGCACGTAGCAGATGTAGCGCTTGAGGTAACGGCCCATCAGGCTGCAACCAGGTCCGACGCGAGGGAGGACCTTGATGTTGCACAGCCGGCTGATCATGGCGTCAAGGTGGTCGATGCCCTCGCTCTCCGCCTCAGCTATGATGTCGTCGCCCCACAAACCGGCCAAAGAGTCGTACTGCCTCGAGTAGAAGATCTGGCGGCTGGTTTTCAAAACCTGGTAGCCGCACTGGTCAAAGACCTTCACCATAAACTCGAGGAACAGCTGAGACGCACGGCGCGTGCCATACATCGCCTTCAGCATCTGCCACACCATCCCTGGGACCTCCTCGCCCCTAGGCGGGATCACCGTGATCGGCTCGTCCAGCGGCAAGTCGGCGTGCCAGAATGCTGTGACGATGTCGTAGAGCCCCAGCACCCTGGTCCACTCGTTGGAGCCAGGACGTCTTATTGAGGCAGCTCGTGAGACGATCAACTTGATGAACTTCAGTGGGGGCGTCGCCGTGTGCGTGTCCAGCCGGTCGTACATGTTGAACTCCATGGCCACGCACCTCGACCGGACGGTGGTCTCACCGTCCTGCACGCGCTTCTCGTCGAGCCACATGCTGCGCACCTTCTTACCCCTAGCGTCCTTCATTGGCACGCGCTCGTAGAGGCACCTGTCCATCATGTTCTGGCGCTCCCGTGCGCGGCCCGCGCGCACGAGCTCGGGGTCGAGCACCTCGCCGGTCTTGTGGTCCTTGACGTCCTGCGTGCCGATGTCTGGCGTCGCCACGTAGGCCACCGGCGTTGCGATGCCCATGGCCTCCGCAAGGGACGGCTGGCCGCGCACATGCAGAGCGCCGATTACGCGCCTCCTCGAAGACGCGGGCCCGCTGGCATCAGCGCCACCACTCTCGAAGAGCTCGACCTTCTCCTGGAAGCTCAGGTCCTCCCGCTCGCGCTTCGCCGCGATGCTCGCAGCCTCCATCTCTGCGTCCACGGCGGGGTCACAGGCTGCCGGGGCCAGCCCTGGTGGAGCGGCAGG